ACAAACTGTAAGAAAGCTTATAAAAAATAAGAAGAGCTTCACAATTACAGATTTCCCCAAACAACTACTATTTGTAAAAAAACCACGAAAACTGGGTTTTTTTCCTTATAGAAAAGTCTCCATAACATTAGCAATAAAGACTTCTCTCCCTAAGTAAACAAAAAAAAACCTATTTTTAAAATAGTAAACTAACTAGAATTTTAAATTTTGTTTCTTTACATTACCAGTAAGAAAAAAATATTTTTAAAAATATATTCTAAAAATTTTGTTCTAATTGTTATTACTCTTTCTTTTAGTTAATGTTAATAAACTTTTCTTTATACCCTTTTAAAATTTTAAACCTATTTTACCCTTCTCCTAATCCAACCTCACAACAAAAAAGAAATACATTAATAATCAACCAACACCAAACCCACCACACTCTAATACATTAACCAAAAAATCTCAAAATTAATAAAATCTCAAATTAACAAACCAAAACCACTACACAAAATGAGTATTTCTACCAAGTTTCAAACTAAAACCACCACACCCTGGCAGTGCCTGTGTCCCCGGACACCTCAGTCTCTGGTTCTCCTGATACAAAAGGATGTGTTTGTCAATAGATTATGTCTTGCTTGGAGCTGCATCTAATCCAGCCCTGCTGGGACACCTGAACTACAACAAGGCACTCAAAAAGTGCCTTGGCACAGCTCTCTCACCAGGCCCTGCACACACAGGACCATGACCTACACTTCATTTCTATTTCCCATGTATGACTTACACTGTAACAAGTAAGAGAGCTCCTGACCTTCAAAAATACTTCATTCCCTGATGCTCAGAAAGTAGATGCTGGTTTCAACTTCACCAGGAAGAACTGCACTTAAACCCTCACAGGCTGGACAAACACCTCCAGCATGTGCGATCAAGGCTGAGAAACACTATAAGGACAGGCTAGCATAGGCAGAAAGAGCAAACACCCCTGACCTTTCCACAAAGCAGAGCTGGAGCTGATAAAACTCAGCTCACGCAGAGCCCTGACTGCCAGTCCCAACTCAGTGCTCCTCTCACAGCAGCCGGGAATATCTTCCTGCAAATGCACGGCTAAAGGTCCGAATTTGGGGTTCAGGCTGAACACTTACACAGGGCTGCAAACTAATTTGGTGCCCCTTTTATGGCTCTGTAATGAATATCCCTTTGTAAAATACTGAGCAGTGATAAAAGCGTCGCAAAATTGGTAAACTGTCTTTCTTGAATAGCAATAATGGACCTGAAAATTAATCATAAACTTTCTTGATGTTTTAGTGCATCAGACTTTCCTTGGACCACAGCCACGCAGGTGTCAGAGAGGCAGCTGTGCTCGCTGTGTTAAAAACATAACACATTGTTTTGTCCTAAACAACTCAGGCACCAGCCTTTCAGCGAGGAACAAGTAAATTAATTTAGCAGCAAGCTCATAATCTGATCCAAGATCTTAAACTTTCTTCCTGATTGGATACGGGAGCCAGAGCAGCTCTCTGCACCTCTCTGTGGCCCGACCCCGTCCCGCGCGGGGCTGTTCCCCAGGGCGAGCTCGCAGCCCGGCTCGGCCTCCGGACCATCTTAAGGCTGCCGCTCCTCACCAGCGGCTGGCTTCCACTGGGACTCGGGCGAAGTCCGCGCTCGAAAAGCTTCCTTCCACCGCCGGAGCTAGGAGGAGCGTCTGGACGAGGGGAAGTACTCCCAGAGATTGCAAGACTTGCACTCCAAAGAGCAGCTTCTCTTCAGCTTCCCCGCTGATCCTACCCAGAGCCAAACACACACCCCATCCGTGCGCACCCTCCCGCCCGTCCCGGTCCCTGCTGCAGGAGAGAAGCTGGGGAATAATCCCTGGACAAACTCCCCGGAGCAGCACGGCTGAACGTTCCCGGAGGACCAGCCGGTCTGTGACGCACCTCGCCCTTTGCCCTCCGGGCAGGAGCCCTGATCCCGGCAAGCACCACTCACTCCACCGGGCTGGCACCGCCCGCCGCCCGCCGCGACCCCCGCCCGCCGCAGTACCGTCTGCCCGGGCCGCTCCGCCGCCGCTGCACCGACAGGGCACCGACAGGGCACCGGAACAGCGCCGACACGGCACCGGAACAACGCCGACACGGCACCGCCGCAGCCCGGCCCCCGACACGCGGCGCTCCCGCCCCCTCAGGCAGGCGGCCGCTCCGCCCCTCGGCTGCCGCCGCGGCCTCGCCGTGCCCGCTGGGGGCCTTGTCAAACCCCACCGCCGCAGCCCAGGGAAAGCCAGCTCAGCCTTGTCCTGCAGTCTTGCCGCGTTTCTGTTGCAAAATGTGGAATATGTAAACATTTTCTTGACAAAGGATGTGCTTTGATGTTTGATCTTAGTATACTTTCAAGCCTAATCAACAAGAAGGAAGTTCTAATCTGTGAAACACAGAGCAGCTACCAAACAAGGTCTAAGTGAAGTCCAGCTGTGGGAAAGAGAAATTGTCAGGAGAATTGCCTTGGTTAGGGTTGAACATGTTTTAATGATCTCAAACCTAGGGGGAATTTAACAAGGCTTGGAAAGAAGGACGTACCTCTGATAGTGGATACATAAAATACAGAATTTATGGGCCACAAGGGCATTTGGCAGAACTCCCAAGATAAGGCAGAAACTAAAAAAGCCCACACAGCAACTGTGCTGAGATCACCTCTGAACGGATAAAAGATAATTCTGGCAGGGAGGGATTCCCACACCACTAACTCACAGCCTACCAAGTCAAGAAACCCAGCTCAAAAGAACAGAAAGACCCAGTGAGGAGGGAGACTAATTAGCATGACAAGAGGGAGAATCATTAACCAGTAGGAGAGAACATTAAGAGAATTAGACGATTTGTAGTCAATGAAAATTAATGCCTTTGCTTGCTAAAACGAATAAATAGTAAAAACTTGTCATTGATTTTTGGAATACCACCAAGCAACCAAGCTTGTACAGCTCTGAAATTAATAGTCAGTGTCTCTCTTAAGTGTGTAATTACTGCTTCGTTGCACACTGGGTAACAAAGGCAGGTTTTCTGGACAACATTTCCACTGGGCTGGCTCTGAGGCAGCTGCACATCAGGGACATGGTCAGGACACAGTGAGCAGAGACAGGCTTGGAGGCCCCCGGGCAGCAGCGATTGTGTGACCAGCGGAGCCTGGGGCTGCAGCCCCTGTGCAAGGGGTGCAAGCACTCCTTCTGCCAGGGGCTCTGGCTCTGTGTGGCCAAAATCTGGGATCTCTCTGGGGATCCTGAAACCACATGGCCATGACCGGAGCTCGTCCTCAGCGCGTGGCTCGTGGCACGGAGTCAGTACCTACAGCCCAAGTTTCTGGCTTGACTTTCTGACAGCACTCAGCAGCTGCCAGTGTTGTCCAAATGCTTCAGTGAGGCAGGAGGGAAACAGCTCCTGCAGCAACTCTCTTGAATACATGCTTTGCTGCTGAAAAACATGGGCTTATTCCCGTTCTTTGATGACAAAAACTGGTTCCAGCTGCATGACATTTCTTATGTCCAAGAGAAAAAAATAGACGACCTCGTACATTGTGGGTGGTTGGAGGCAGAAAGAACACAGTGTCAGAGAGAGGTCCTCAACAAACAGCGTGTATTATTGTTCAGAGTTTCTTATACAGGCAGTTCAAAACTGCCGGGTCTCAAGTGCTGGTTGGTCTGGGTCTTAACACTGCCCAGTACTTGGAGCAGTAATGTCTCTGCATTTACGGTTGAAAGGGATTAGGTGCTCTGTTTGAGTTCACATCTATCCTATCACTGTTCGCCTAGGGAGTTGTTTATTGAACTAGAAGAGCCAAATTAGGTTTCGTATTATAGCCAGATTTATCTGTCCAGCTGCAGACTAGCTGTACTGTGACAAAGACCTACTCTTTGGGATATTCACTCCTAATTTTCCAACAGCTCTTGGGTATGCCAGAAAAACACCAGCAGACAGATCTTATCCATCGAAGTAGCAGCAAGAAATCAATGACCAGCTGGGTTTTGAGTATCAATAGTAAGAATTTATTTCAGGTATTCTGTAATTATTTAAGGCATTCTGTGTTGTCCAATACAACCTCAGTTTAGTGAACAATTTCCTTTGCTGGTAGGATCAAAAAAATTTGTTTTCAGTACTTTCATTGTTTTCCCAATGCCAGGAAACAGGATGAACTAGTTTCTGCAGCTTTAGACTCAGTAGAAAATTTTGATCACTTTAGGTACCTCTTCCTCTCGTATTAGCGGTTTCCTCTGGCTGCCAGGCTGCAGGATGCCAGTGCTCTAGCTGTAGCTGGATTTAGGCACTGGCTCTTTCACATACAAACTGGGTTTATTTGGGGTTTAAATAATATCACAGGATCATGGAATGGTTTGGGTTAGAAGGGACCTTAAATCCAACCCTCCTGACCTGGGCAAGGAACACATTTCACTACATAACTGCACATATTTACCCAAGTTCCACAGTCTGGCTAACCTCAGTACTGGAGCTTGATCTGAGTGATTAGAATAAAGAATTCCAGTACAACTTGTATTAAACCTAGTTTAATATACAGTGACAGAAGTCAATATGGATTCCTACATTCCAGGGTCTCACTAAGACTTGACAACATCCTGACTCCTCCTTCTTCAAAAAGTTTTAAACTGGTGACAGCATTTGTTTCTCAGAGTCTGCAGAGGGCTTTTAGCTGCTGCAAGAGACCTTCTGATAAAGGGAACATTGGTGAAGCTGCAGTACAAGAGTTTAAGTGTCTAGTGACAAAGCAGAGGTGCAGTAGGAGCTCTGGACCAAGCATATTCCATATTAAGCTCAGAGGAAAGCTGAACCCAAACCTGTCAGCCTCAGCTAGCCAGAACCTGCAGGCTCTTCTATGAATTAACAAGAGAGAAAAAAAAATAAATACATGGCCTACTAATTGGAATAATCTCTCCTAATTTTCCAACAATCCTTGGGAATGCCAGAAAACCAGAACCAGACAGATCTTAGACGTAAGAAGCAGCAAGAAATCAATGAACAGCTTAGTTTTGAGTATCAATAGTAAGAATTTATTTCAGGTAGTTTTATGTTTAGGGCATCCAATGTTGTCCAACATACCCCCTACATAGTGAATTGTTTCCTTTGCTAGTGTGCTCATGGACCTTACCTTCAAGCATCTGCAGTAGGCCAAAATCAGCACTGTAGCTAAGGAAAGATCAAAAACTTTACACTTCATTCATTCCATTATTTTGACACTGCCATTATTTTCATTAATTTCACTTTGCTACTATCTGCAAATACAATGAAACACAGTTTCTGTTGTGTTAGAGTGCTGCTCAGGAGTAGAAAATTTTCATCACTTTTTCCACAACATCATCATCTGATGGTGGTTTCCTCTGGCTGCCAGGCTGCAGGAATTTCTTAATTGTGGGGATATTGCTTATTCTTGCTTTGAAGCTCTACAAAACAAAACCAAAACATCACAGTGCTTAAGAATCATTGCAGCTGTCAGACATTTCAATGTTATCCGTGCTCTGAAAGTCCCATTACAGCTTGATGCTGCAGAAGAACCTGTATGCTTCCCCCTCTTATGCTTTTGGGGCTGTAGTGACAGAATGTGGAAATAACAAAGAGTATGTGAGGCCAGCAAAAAGTCCTGAGGACATCTGATTATTTTGCATGTCACTTCTGACCCTCCCACTCTCCCATATTTCTCAGCCACTTTAAATCAGTGGTCCTTTCCTTTCATTCACCATTCAACTTGCCCATTCATTTACCTGCAAGAGAGGAAATTTGGCAAATATATCAGGCTTCCACTCTTCTACCATTAAAAGGACTTCAAGTAATTGAACATCAGCCCTGCTCAGCTGGTTGCCAACCAGAAAGTCTTTTCCATGGTCTTTCAAAACCTAAAAACAGAGAACCAGAAGCAGATAATGTAATTTCTCTCTCTTTTCTCTGTTCTGTTCTCATAAATAATGTGATATCTTCAAAGCAGGGTCACACACTGCACGGAGTTGTCTGTAAAAGAAGGAAATGCAGTTCAAACACCTGTAGTGCAAACAATGATCTGAAGGCACTGCTATCCAGTCATCATCTATCAGCTCTTTCTGTTCTACATTTCTGTCTGGCAGCTCACTTGTGCTCATCTTGCCCTGGACGCTGTAGCTGCATTGAAGGCTGAGCTGTACGAGATACAGAAGGAACTGCAATGCCTCTACGTAGCCTGTATGGTACAGGGCCATCTGCACTTCAGGAGGAAGCTTGATGTCAAAGCTGGTGCTGTAGTGTCTTTTGCCTGAAACACTCACACTGAAACGTGGACATTTGGGGAGCTCTGTGTGTGCTGGGTTTTTGCAGCTGCACATCTCCACCAGATTTGAAGTGCCTTCTGTCCCCTCTGTCTTGTCCACTCTCAACCTTAGTCCCAGAACCTCTAAAATCAGAGCATTGACATTACAGTGGTAGTTTCTCTTCAGTTTTCCTCCATAAAACTTGTGTGGATCCAGGATGGAGGTTCTAGGTAACAGTATCAACTGAGCCACAACCTCTTTGCCACATACCTTCTCAAAGACTGGGAAGTATCTGTTTTCAGCCTTGTCCATCATATTTGCAAAGTGTTGCTCCTTTTTGTCTGCAGGTTGGATTTCATATGTCATGAGTAAATCATTCAGATCGAACATTCCTTCCACGTACATATCGATTCTGAAAGGAATAGATCCACTTGGTCAGGTCACACACAGTAGGTCTGAACAGCACAATAACTCCTGGCACAACCTCACTGAGATGCTGGGAAATCCCTGCCCCTTCTNAGCAGGCAGCGGGGGAGCTTGGGCCAAAGGCAAATGCAAAATTCCTAGGGAAACCTAGACTGTAGCCCTCTCACTTCTTACTGGGACTGATTCTTGTCTGGACTATGGGATTTTCAACCTGATCACAGAATTGTCATGTGTGCCATCCAGACTTGTGTTAAAAATCCAATCAGACAGCCTAAGTTTCACAGCAGGTCCATACAACTATCTAGCAAATGTCTTGACACATGTGTTTACCAGTGCTTATTCATTTCATGCATTCAGAAATACCTCAGGTCAAAATATGTGCCCCAGGAGTCCTGTCCTTTGATAACCTGTTATTAATTCTATTCTCATTCCTGGTTACTAGAGAGAGGAGGGGTTTTGTTTCCTTGAAAGACATTGCCCTGAATGTGATGAGGAGAAATGCTGCTGCTGCTGACAACTGCAGGAGAAAATGAAAAGCAGCATCAGTAGGACAGTCTGCCCCCCTGACTGCTTTCTTCTGATAAGAGCATTGACCTGTGACTGATGATTCCTGGGCTCGCTTGCCCTATGGAATCCAGCTGGCTGTCTCTGCTCTAGACATCAGCTGCAGTCACAGTCATCTCATGCAGCACAAAGCAGCGCTGCTCTCTCCCACTGACTGGAGCTGTGAGCTGGGATACCCTTGTGTTACACTGGGCTGCCGTGTCAGCAGGGGTCTAACAAGCAAAGGTGGTACTGTTACAGTACAGGGCTCTCTCCTTCACGTCCTTCCCGTAGAGGTTGTACTTGGTTGCTATGTAGTTGGCAATGGCTCTGGTCTGCACCAGCTTCATCCCGTCGATCTCTACCATTGGCACTTGCTGAAAGAGCAGGGATCCATCTGGGCCAAAGGGAATAACACAAGGAGACGTTCAGTCCCTGAATGGGAACCACCAGCAGGTGTTAGGCAAAGTAACCACATGTATTACTTTTTATTTAGAATCTGAATCAATCTGGCTGGATAAAAGATCCCGAGATCATCAAATCCACGTGTCAAACCAACAATGCCTAATTCCACCACTAAACCATGTCCCCAAGTCCAAAATACTTTTTGAAAGGCAGCCGGTAACAGGGGGACCAAGTCATTATTCCTACAGGACAGCAGGACTGCAAATACTGTCCCTAACTCAGATTGCTTTTGACTGGCCAGGTGAAGAGCACAGAAATGCAATTTGCTTTAAAGGAAACATGATTACCATGTTCAGGAAGACAGAAGCTGAAGGCAGCACAGTGGGTTGTTGCCTTGGGAGGCAGGAATGCAGCAAAGGAACAGGTAAACTCAGAAATCTGGAACTCTGCTCTCATAGGGATCATAAAGCAACAACTGTGTAGGCAACCTAAGTTGCTAATGAATTTTAAGATCATCTGATGACAAAAGCCTCTGTTGCCATAGGATGGAAGGCCATGGACAGAAGCTGAAGCAAAGGAGAGTCAACCATCTGAACTTCAAGAAAGGCTCTTTGACTGTGTGGGCTGCCCAGAGAAGCTGTGAATTCTCCATCCTTGGAGACACTCAAACCCCAGCTGGACATGGTCCTGGGTAACAGGCTGGAGGGGGCCTGGCTTGAAGAGGGGAGGTGGAGTAGGCAATCTGGAGAGGTCCCTTCTGGCCTCAGCCCTTCTGTGATTCAGTGAAGCTTGAAGCACCTGGGTGGATGATGCCACCTAACACACTGCACTGTGCACCTCTGAGACCTTGTGCACAATCCAGTGAAGAGATCGTATTTTTAAGGCACTAAGACCCAAGAATTCTTAGGTAAAATAGACAAGTAACTGTAATTCTAACTGATGCCTCTTCCTCTTATTATTAT